CATTTGAAAAGACCCTGATGCTGGGAAAGATTGAAGGCAGGAGGAGAAGGGGACGACAGAGGATGAGATGGTTGGATGGCATCACTGACTCAATGGACATGAGTCTGAGTAAGCTCTGGGAGTTGGTGATGGACAGGGAAGGCCGGTGTGCTGCAATCCATGGGGTTACAACAAGTCGGACATGACTGAACGACTGAACTAAACTGAACTAACAAATGATTGCCCTTATCTATTGTTCTCTCTCTCTCCATTAGCTTGTCAACAGCCTGATGGCAGGGATTGCTGCTCACTGCTATATCTCTAAGAGCCAGTGCACAAAGGAGGTCTTCTAAAAATATTTGTGAGTGAGCCTGGGGGAGTCTCAAGCATCTATTACATGCCAGATATTTTCCAACCACTCTTTTATTTCTTGCTAGAAATAAATAGGATGATCCTCTTTTTATTTTTTTAATTTTTAATTTAAACTGGGGCTTCCCTGGTGGTCCAGGGGTTAAGACTCTGTGCCCCCATTGTAGGGGTCTTGGGTTTGATCCCCGGTCAGGGAACTAAGATTTCACATGCCGCAGTTCAATTCAGTCGCTCAGTCGTGTCCGACTCCTTGTGGCTTAGCTGGTAAAGAATCCGCCTGCACTGAAGACCTGGGTTTGATCCCTGGGTCAGGAAGATCCCCTAGAGAAGGGAAGGGCTACCCGCTCTAGTATTCTGGCCTGGAGAATTCCATGGACAGTCCATGGGGTCACAAATAGTCAGACACAACTGAGCGCCTTTCACTTTCTTTCAGGTTGCTCATAGATTTTCTTTCAAGGGGCAAGCATCTTTTAATTTCAAGGCTGCAGTCACCATGCACAAGTGATTCTGGAGCCCCAGAAAATAAAGTCTGTCACTGTTTCCATTGTTTTCCCATCTATTTGCCATGAAGTGATGGGACCAGATGCCATGATCTTTGTTTTCTGAATGTTGAGTTTTAAGCCAACTTTTTCACTCCCCTTTTTCAGTTTCAACAAGAGGCTCTTTAGTTCCTCTTCGCCTTCTGTCATAAGGGTGGTGTCATCTGCATATCTGAGGTTATTGATATTCCTCCCGGCAATCTTGATTCCGGCTTGCGCTTCATCCAGCCTGGCATTTCGCATGATGCGCTCTGCATATAAGTTAAATAAGTGGAGTGAGAATATACAGCCTTGATGTACTCCTTTCCTGATTTGGAACCAGTCTGTTGTTCCATGTCCAGTTCTATCTCTAATTTGTTAGTTAGGGATAGATATTAAGAAGAAAAAGTAAAATCTGGAGAGAGGCGGGTAGGAAGTCTGGTATGTGAGTGTGTATTGTGTGATCGTGGCCAGGGAAGGTGACCTCGAAGTGAAGATCTGAATGAAAAAAGGAATAAGGATGCAGACACCTAGGGGAGAGTGTTTCAGGAAGAGAGAATGGCAATTGCAAAGGCCCTGGGGCAGGAAGGAGTGCACCTGGGGTGTTGGAACAACAAGGAGGCCAGAGTGCCTGCTCCATAGTGAGTGGGGAGAGTTAGAGGAGATGAAGTCAGACAGATGGGCACAGCGTAGCAAGCACAGGACACAGGGTTTCACAGGTCTTTGTAGGGTTGATATAACCTAACTTTTAAGCTTTTAATCTTCAGTCAAATCCCAAAGGTTCAAAACTTTTCCCATTGGCTTGAGCCCCCTGCTCTGGCCTGACACCCAGGTCAGGGTCCTCATTGCTGGTCCCTGATTTGGACCTGACCCTGGCCATGTTCAACCCTAGTTCCCAATTCTCACCTCACCTGAACTTGCACTGTGGGACATCTAGCAAGAGCCCCTGCCTCAGAAAATTTGAGAAATGACACCCACAGCCACATGGCGATCACACTCTTAACCACCTGCCATCATCCCGAATGGCAGGAAGCTTCATCTCTGTATCTGGGGCAAACGTGAGAAGCCCTAGTGAGTCAACGCTTGCTGCAAGAAAGAGAGAGAAGCAAGGAGAGAAAGAGGCTGGGCGTGATAATGGTACTCAGGGACGCGAGGCTTCTGAGATAAAGACAGAAATCAGGAGAGCGGCTTTGAAGATGGTGAGAGAGGAAGTCATGTGATCATCTAGGTGCACAGAATTCCACACAGAGAAACCCCTAGAGCAAAGGCCCTGAGCCAGAGCAAGCCTGGTATGGGTGGAAGAGCAGGAGGCCTTTGTGAGAGGTGACAAGTGGGTGAGAGAAGAGAAGAGCCGGAAGGGGTGACGTCAGAGGGGCAATGAAGAGCCTGACGTGCAAAGACTGTGGGCCACCATGAAGCCTTTGGCTTTGGCTCTAGGTGAAACAGATGTTGGAAACTTTAGACCAGATGCCTGACATGATGACTCTGGCTGAGCTGGGGGCAGATGGGTTTGGGAGGTAGAAGCAGAAGGACAGTGAGGAAGCTTCTACGAAAACGCAGGGAAGAGTCGATGGTGGTTTGCACCCGTGGCTAAACTGAAGATGGTGGGAGGTGGTCGGAGTCAGAACATTTTTTTGAAAGTAGAACCAACAGATTTGCTGATGACTTGGGTGCGGGATCTGCTGGGTGGAGGACATTTGGGCTTTTTTCTCCTAGTAGCAAGAGGAAGCCACAAAGTTGGTTTCGAGCAGGGGGTTGACAAGGTTGCCTTTGTGTTTTTGAAAGATCACTCTGCTGCTAGGTCAGACATAGCCTGGAAGGGAAGAATGCAGCGGAGGGCAGTGAGGGATGGTGATAGCTTGGATTAGGAGGAAGTAGGTGGAGGGTTAAGCAAAACAGCACAGCTCTTCCTGCCTATGGGCCTTTGCATGGGCTGCTCTCAATCACCCCAAAACTGCCTATGGTTGGCAAATGCTATTATCTTCAAGACTCAGGGAGTCCCTCCCACAGTGATTTCCTCTGTTCTAGCATTTGTCATGCTAGGTTTTCTCCGATATCTGTGAGCTTCTCACAACGGGGATCACACCTCAGTAAGCTCTAAGAGCCCAAGGCCCAGCGTGAGGTCTGGTGCAGAGAAGGCCTTAAAGAACATTTGTTGAATGAATAAACAAAAAGAATGTGAAGGAGGAAATAGATCAACACCATGCTATTCGGAGCTCACCAATGCACTGAGAATCCTTTATTATTGTTGTAGCTGTTTTCTGATTATGAAAGTAATATGTGCTGTTTATAAAAAATGTTACAGATATCAATCATATCATGTATGATCCCCCAAACCTCATCCTCTATACTCTAGAAACAAGACATCTCTAGTACTTAGAAATAACTATGCAGAGTTCAGGAAACATTCTCCCCCCTATTTGTATATAGATACACTAAAAAACAAAATGTTTAAGAGGCAGAGAGAAATGGAGAGAGAGAAGCTGAGAAAGAGAGACTTCCTGCCTAGCAGACAAATAGATGTGACGCACACTGTTTTGTGACTTGTTTTTTTTCTACTCGCATTATCATGACAATCTTTCTTTGCTAAAAATCTACCATTTTTTGGTAAAAGACTGAACAATATTCTGTAAAATGGATTTTTTAAGCAATATAAGCAAATTCTTATTCATGTTGGATATTTAACTTATTTTCTACTCTTTTTTTAATGTAAAGATTTCTTTGGATATCTTTGTTGTATTTATTTTGAGACATCAGCTTTTTTCTTTTTCTTGGCTAGGCCATGTCTTCATAGCGGCATGAGGGTATTTCTCTACTTGCAGCTCTTGGGTTTAATCGCCTCATGCAATGCCGTGGCAATCTTATTTTCCCCACCAGGCAGCAAACCCAAGTGCCCTGCACTGACCGCCAGGGAAGTCTCCCTTGAGACACCAGATTTTAGACGCAGATTTGAAACATGTGTTCCTCCTGTGGTGCTTTTAGGACTTGGGTTTTGGTCTTATGTGACTATTAGATATAACTGAGGATGTTCAGCCAGGAAGAGACTAAGGGCTGATCTGAGCCGTGTTCACATTTCTCAAAAGGCTTCCAGGTGGGAAAATGAATAGACTAGTTCCAAGCATTTCCCCGGGCTTGCCCGGTGGATCAGCAGTAAAGAATCCACCTGCAAGTCAGGAGCCCCAGAAGAAGTGGTTTGATCCCTGGGTCAGGAAGATCCCCCGGAGGAAGGCGATAGCTTATGGTGAAAGATCAGATTTGTGGTCTCCAAAGAAGAAGATTTAACTTTGGGTCGAGGGACCAGGCTTGCTCACTCAAGAGCTTTTGTGTAGCAGAGTTTTATTAAAGTATAAAAAGGGACAGAGAAAGCTTCTGACACAGACATCAGAAGGGGGATGGAGAGTGCACCCCTCACTAGTGTTAGCAAGGGAGTTATATACTTTTTTAATTGGTTATTACAATAAATCAAAAGAATGGCTTAAGGTTGTAAAGACCCACTCCCACAATTTACATTTTAAGGTAACAGGATTAGTCAGAAGGTTTTTAGAAAGGAGAAACTGTCCTCAAGTAGGATATATTGTTGTTATATAATCCTTAGTACAGAGTTTAAATTTAGTTGTTTGTTGTGTAATCATCAGTTCTGGGCTTAAAGAAAAAAAATGTTTTATGCAACTAAGACTAAGGAATGTAGAGAGAAAAATGATGTTTGTCCTTTCCTCCTCCCTGAGAATTCCAGACCCCTATCTCTGCTTTGAGAGAGCCCCAGACCCCTTTCTCCTCCTCAGGGACCCTGGACTTCTTATCAACCTACCTAGGAATTGACTCTCTCATTCCCCGCTTTTCTTTTAGAATTATGTTGCCAAGGGAAAGGGGTGTCGTTTTCATTCCATGACTATTTCCTGCTGTTGAGGGGCGTGGTCCCTAAATTGTTGAGGCAACATATTCCCTTAATCCTCATATTGAGGGTCTCTGATCCAGGGGCCCCAAGTAATAGTTGGAGAAGGTTGTGGCACTCGTAGGAGCCTGGACAACCATTTGTAACTTAAAAGCTTTCAAATGGTTAGAAACAAACCCAGTTATACAGTTACAGATGCAGGGAGCAAACAGTAAAAACAGAACAATTACGATTATTACGATTAAGATAGTTTTCCACCATGGGGAGCTAGTTAACGTTTCCCAAAGTGAGGTGCCTGAGGCTTCAGGAGAATCCATAGCCTGAATCATCTTGTTCATGTGTTTAGTAAAGTGAGTAACATTAGTGCTCATATTGGGTATAAATAATAGCACAAGTTCCTCCTTGTGCAGCCATTGGCATATCTAAGGCCAATCTGTTTTGTAAAACCACCTTTCTAATTTGTATTTGTTCATCATTAAAGGCTAAAACTTAGTCAGAGTATCCACTTGTAGCGTAACATCTTATCTGTAGTTCCCAGAGAGGGAACGAATATTGCAGCCGGATAATCACACCAGTGAAATACTTACCTTGCCCACTGAGTATTAACGTGTGGCAGATTAGTAAGGCTTCTCCAGAAGCTCTGAAAATATGAAGCCAAGAGTAAAAGCTAGACCTAGGGTGCATCTCCCTATCCAACCAGGGGGAGGCCACGCCCTTAGTTAAGAGCCATATACCCAGTAGGTCCTGTTTGGAGCAAGCCAGTATGACTTGAGGGATCCAGTCCCCATCAGTGCCTGGCCAGGCAAAAGGAGGACCTGAACTTGGATCGGAAAACACAGGAATGATTACATTGCATATTTCTTGAGGCAAAAATCCCAATTGTTTCTAATCATTGTAATTAAGTTGTTGGCTAACTTCTGGGGATGGCTCTATTTGTTTCCAGCATATGGGAGCATTAATTAGTAGGCGTCCCATTTTAGGAGTTAGCCATATTACCTCATCCCATATTTGATAAACATCAGGTAGAAAACCACCAGATCTAGACCCATTTATCTTCTTATGTGCAGCAAAATAGTCATTAAACCAAGTTAAAACATAATCAAAATTAAAAGTTACATTATGCCCATAGTTACATCAGTCCATCTTAAGATTGTTAGATGTCATCAGATCAAGAAGAGGAGTCATATGTGATTGTTGTTGGTGAATGTATTCTCAGAATCGAAGAAAGTCCTCTCCTTGAAGTAGAGAAACTCACCATGGGAAGTCTTCAGTTGATGAAGAGGGGAGCGCTCCACAGACCCAGCAATTATGTGGCATATGAATGAGCCCAGGACAGGAAGGTGTTGTCTTGAGGGTCAAACGGCAGACTCAGGACTTTTGGAGTCAGCAGAAGCAAGCCCACATAGATTCTCAGGCCCATCTCGGTTTCTGGCTCAAACACTGTCTTGTTTGCCTCAAAGGCTGGGTTAGGAGTTAACCTCCTGGTAATGTCTGTTGAAGAGCTAAAAGCTGAGTTACACAGTTAATTTTAAGGCTTCAGGATCTATGACAATATCTGTGCACAAAAACAGTCTGTCATAGAGACAGTCCTTTCTTTGCAGGGGGCGGGCAGTTCAAGCCCTCATTAAAGCTATGGTTACAACAGTTGAAAAGCAGCTGTAAAGTGCTAAAGCAGCTGTCTTGTGTTTCCTGAGTTATCTTACATGGGTGTCTTTTAATAATGTCATTAGCCTTTTCAACTTTTTCTGAAGATTGGGATCTCCAGAAACAGTGTGAGTGATGTTCTATTCCTAGAGCTTTTGACAACCCTTGAGTTACAGCAGCTTTAAAGGTGGAGCATTGTTGCTCTGAGTTTTAGAATTTAGGATCCCACTTACATCATGAGAAGTCAATACAGTATGATTTTGCCCATTAGTAAACTTATGAGCTTTAGGCATTAATAAAACAATAGTAACAATTACCCTTAAACAATGTGGCCATAGCCGTTATTTTCAGTAACAAACAAACTCTGATCCTGTGGGCAAGCTCAAAGTTGGAGTCTGCAAGAGAGCAATTTGAAGAGCCTTATCCCTTGGATGGAGGAGCCTGGTAGACTACAGTCCATGGGGTAGCAAAGAGTCGGACACAACTGAGAGACTTCACTCACTCACTCACTCAAAAGCCTTTTGAGTAACTAGAGACCAAACTAGCCTGTCCGTTTGGGCCTGCTGAGTCTGTTATAAGTTTATATGAAGGCCAGGCAAGTTCCCCATAACCTGGAACCCAAAAGTGGCAATAGCCTGTGGCAATGCCCAAGAATCCTTTCAATTGTCTTAAAGTCAGAGGTAAACTCTAGAAAGCATCCTTCAAATCAATGATTGAAAAATATTTGGCTTGTCCAGACAGCCCCATTACAGTAGTGGATCGTGAAGAAAGCAGACCAGGGGCTTTAGTGAGCAGAAAGTTGCCCCAGTGTCCAAAAGAAAAGACTGATTGGCCCTCCACAGTTATTAATACCCGGGGTTCCTCAGGTGTTACTAGGACGGGAGCTTGTGTGGGGACCCCGGGGCAGCTTTGGTCCCAATTGTTGTCTTGAGAGCCTGACCCCTGGGGCCTACACCTCGGAGGGCAGCCTCTTCTCCAGTAAGGTCCTTTGCAGACAGGACATGGAGCCGGGGCGGCTTAGATGCCTAAGGGCAATCCCACTCGAGATGCCCCTCGTTTCCACAGTAATAGCAAGGCTGTCCCTTTTCACCTGGGATCCTCTGGGCGTTTTTCCTGAGGATGTTTCAGAGCAGATCTAACAGCCACTGTTGGGGCTTCTGTCTTTTGCCTGGTTCTCTTTTTCCTTCTATTTTCCTCCTTCTGCACTTTGAAGATCGATATTGGTAAACTTGTGGAGAGCCTCCCGTAGTCTATACTAGGAGTTTATCAGGAGTTTCCTTCTCTCACTGTTCTATGTCAGCAAACTTAGCGTAATTTAAAGTCTTAGCATGTGCTCACTTGAGTCCTTCAAGAATATATCTGACAAAGTGGCTCTGTTATAGGAACTACTTGGTATCTCTTTGCCCCTGTCTCATGTTCAAGCCATTCATCTCCAAAAGTAGTAGCTTCTCTCAGAACTAGAGCTCTCGAGTCAGGAGTCAGCGTCTGTCCCAAGACATACATTACATCTTTCCAAGTAAGGTCATAAAGTAAAGTTAGCCCCATAAAGGCTTCTGTGTATTTTTCTGGATTCTCTAGATAGTCTTGACCGTAGTTGGTACTCTTTGAACTTTTACCGAGACTGAGCAACCTCTCCTGGAAGGGTGCCCTGATTCTCAGCCTGTTCAGTTGGGAGCCCCTGATACAGGGGCGAAGTAAGAGGACAGGAAGGAGCTACTGAAGGTTTCACACCCAAATCTGCACCCTTAGGACCTAAGTCTGACATGTCTCTCAGAGAGATAAACAGCAACACATACGTCACTTCTACCCATTTCTCTTGTTTTCAACCGAACCGATCTAGTTGTATAACAGTAATAATTGACATCCTTCAACAGGTCAGCATTCCCCATCTTCTAAAGGATACTGTGGTCATTCAGTATCACAGAAGATCAGGGGTGTTTTTTTAAAAACTTTGGGGATCAAATTTTCCCAGTTTTTAAAAATACATTTTAAAGAAGTGGTTCTGGACCTGCTAGCTCCCATCTGTAAGAGAGAAAAAAGCGGCATTCACAGCCGTGGCTTTCTTCCACTGGAAGTGTCCTTCCCTGCTCTAGATGGAGGTGTAGACATATTTCCACCGCAGCTTTCTTTCCCTGGTCGGACTTAGTCTGTTCCTTACTGACGCAGCCATCTTACTCGTCCCTCCTGGTTCTACCACGGAGGCGGGGTGGAGATGCACTGGGGATAGCTCTGATGACATCCCAGATTGACTTAGTTGCATACTGCCAAGACCTTTATTTGATTTCCACTTTTCTTCTGATGCCAGCCAGAATGTAACAGAGTAGCTTTCTCGGAATGTTTCCCAAGCTAGTACTACTAGGCGGAAGCATCCATCTTACGTGTGCCCATGTACATTCCTGAGTACAGTCCTGACCGCAGTAGAAATGGTGAGTTATAAAGGGACGAACAACAACCAGGATGTCCCTTCTGTGTGTCACCATGCCAGTACATGTGACAGCAAAAGAGGTGGTGGAGGGTTGGCCAGCGAGGAAAAAGTGATTTTTGTCCTCAAGCTACTAGGGCCAAGCCTTCCAGTTCATTTCCACAGATTACACAGAAAGAAGTATCTAAGGAATTGAGATAAAATCCATCAGAGAGTCTCCTCTGGCCCAATAAGAGCAAGCGCTATCAAAGGAAGAAGCCCATTGCTTTCCAATCTGACCAGATCCTGTAATTCCTGATCTGTGTCCTCAAAAACCACATGGTCACCAGCAAGGCTTCTATCCATATAGAGAGGAGACACAGCTGTGACAAAGACTCACTTTCAGGTTGCTGGCCCCTGAGGCAGGTAGCCAAAGGAGTAACCTCCAGCCTGAGAGGCGTTCCTGGAGCTCGAGCTCCGCCTAGTTCCCCGAACATGCTGCTGGAGCTAGAGTTCCTTGTTCCTAGTAACTTTCTAGCAAGGCTTGCCTAGTCTAGCAAGGCTAAGCGCTTCCATATATGGGGTCTAAGTAAAAGTACATAGTAACAGCATGCATCACAATTCCCTTGAAAGTCTACAGTTCAGTTGCTCAGTCGTGTCCGACTCTTTGCGACCCCATGAATCACAGCACGCCAGGCCTCCCTGTCCATCACCAACTCCTGGAGTTTACTCAAATTCATGCCCATCGAGTCGGTGATGCTATCCACCCATCTCATCCTCTGTTGTCCCCTTCTCCTCCTGCCCCCAATCCCTCCCAGCATCAGGGTCTTTTCCAATGAGTCAACTCTTCGCATGAGGTGGCCAAAGTATTGGAGTTTCAGCTTCAGCATCAGTCCTTCCAATGAACACCCAGGACTGATCTCCTTTAGGATGGACTGGTTGGATCTCCTTGCAGTCCAAGGGACTCTCAAGAGTCTTCTCCAACACCACAGTTCAAAAGCATCAATTTTTTGGCACTCGGCTTTCTTCACATAATTTCCTACTCAATTATGAAATGGTCAAAGAGACCAGGAAAAGATGACCAAGAAAGCAAAGTTCTGTCCACACACTTTGCCCATCTCTGGCCGCTCCCTTAGCAGGAAACTTGGGTGTCTCTTGGCCTTGACAGGTCAGTATAAACCCCCGACAAGGCTCCCTTTTTTGGGACTGTCTTCAGTCACTACGAGGCACCATGAAACCACAGAGCAGGGCTCATCACTTGCTTTGCGCAGGGCATGTCATTCATTTACACAAGCACACCATAGAGTTAGTAAAGTAAAGCAGAAAGTGTGCATACTGAGAAAGCAGAGAGGCTAGAGCCCTGAGTGTTCTTACCTTGTCCTGAAGATACCAGACAATCTCCCAAGATGACAACTTGCGGTGAATGGTGTTGGATTTGTGATCTCCGAAGAAGAAGATTTAATTTCACGACCAGGGACCAGGGCTGATCCCTCAAGAGCTTTTGTATAGCAGAGTTTTATTAAAGTATATAAAGGGACAGAAAAAGCTTCTGACATAGACATCAGAATGGGGACGGAGAGTGTCCCCCTCTCTAATGTTAGCAAGGGAGTTATATACTTTTTAAATAAAGAAGCGAAAGGCAAATGAGAAAAGTAAAGATATACCCATTTGAATGCAGAGTTAAAGAATGTGGCTCAGAGGTTAAAGCATCTGCCTCCAATGCAGGAGATCTGGGCTCGATCCCTGGGTCAGGAAGATCCCCTGGAGAAGGAAACGTTAACCCACTCCAGTATTCTTGCCTGGAGAATCCCATGGACAGAGGAGCCTGGTAGGCTACAGTCCACGGGGTCGAAAAAAGTCGGACACGACTGAGTGGCTTCACAAGGAGAGATAAGAAAGCCTTCCTCAGTGATCAATGCAAAGACATAGAAGAAAGCAATAGAATGGGAAAGACAAGAGATCTCTTCAAGAAAATTAGAGGGAACATTTCATGCAAAGATGGGCACAATAAAGGACAGAAATGGTATGGACCTAACAGAAGCAGAAGATATTAAGAAGAGGTGGCAAGAATATGCAGAAAAACTGTACAAAAAAGATCTTCACAACCCAGATAATCATGATGGTTTGATCACTCACCTAGAGCCAGACATCCTGGAATGTGAAGTCAAGTGGGCCTTAGGAAACATCACTATGAACAAAGCTAGTGGAGGTGATGGAATTCCCGTTGAGCTATTACAAATCCTAAAAGATGATGCTGTGAAAGTGCTGCACTCAATATGCTGGCAAATTTGGAAAACTCAGCAGTAGTCAAAGAACTGGAAAAAGTCAGTTTTCATTCCAATCCCAAAGAAAGGCAATGCCAATGAATGATCAAACACCACACAATAGCACTCATCTCACACACTAGTAAAGTAATGCTCAAAATTCTCCAAGACCGACTTCAACAATGCGTGAACCACGAACTTCCAGATGTTCAAGCTGGTTTTAAATAAGGCAGAGGAACCAGAGATCAAATTGCCAACATCTGCTAGATCATTGAAAAACCAAGAGAGTTCCAGAAAAACATCTATTTCTGTTTTATTGACTATGCCAAAGGCTTTGACTATGTGGATCACAATAAACTCTGGAAAATTCTTAGAGAGATGGGAATACCAGACCACCTGACCTGCCTCTTGAGAAATCTGTATACAGGTCAGGAAGCAACAGTTAGAAGTGGACAGGGACCAACAGACTGATTCCAAATAGGAAAAGGAGTACGTCAGGGCTGTATACTGTCACCCTGCTTATTTAACTTCTATGTAGAGTACATCATGAGAAACACTGAGCTGGAAGAAACACAAGCTGGAATCAAGATTGCTGGGAGAAATATCAATAACCTCAGATATGCAGATGACACCACTCTTATGCAAAAAGTGAAGAAGAACTAAACAGTTTCTTGATGAAAGTGAAAGAGGAAAGTGAAAAATTTGGCTTAAAGCTCAACATTCAGAAAACTAAGATCATGGCATCCGTTCCCATCACTTCATGGCAAATAGATGGGCGGACAGTGGAAACAGTGACAGAGTTTATTTTGGGGGGCTCCGAAATCACTGCAGATGGTGATTGCAACCATGAAATTAAAAGATGTTTACTCCTTAGAAGAAAAGTTATGACCAACCTAGACAGCATGTTAAAAAGCAGAGACATTACTTTGCCAACAAAGGTCTGTCTAGTCAAGGCTATGGCTTTTCCAGTATTCATGTATGGATGTGAGAGTTGAACTATAAAGAAAGCTGAGTGCTGAAGAATTGATGCTTTTGAACTGTGGTGTTGGATAAGACTCTTGGGAGTCCCTTGGACTGCAAGGAGATCCAGTCCATGCTAAGGGAAATTAGTCTTGAATATTCATTGGAAGGACTGATATTGAAGCTGAAATCCCAATACTTTGGCCACCTCATGCAAAGAGCTTACTCATTTGAAAAGCCCCTGATGCTGGGAAAGATTGAAGGCAGGAGGAGAAGGGGAGGACAGAGAATGAGTTTGTTGGATGGCATCACTGACTCAGTTGATATGAGTTTCGGTAAACTCCGGGAGTTGGTGATGGATAGGGAGGCCTGGCGTGCTGCAGTTCATGGGGTCTCGGAGAGTTGGACACGACTGAGGGACTGAACTGAACTGAACTGAAAATAACCAAATGACAAAACTAACTTTTATGGATCCCTAAAATATGTTAGGTGGGGCTTCCCAGGTGGCTCAGTGGTAAAGAATAAGCCTGCCCATGGAGGAGACCCAGGAGATGTGGGTTTGATCCTTGGGTCAGGAAGATCCCCTGAAGGAGGAAGTGGCAACCCACTCCAGTACTCTTGCCTGGAAAATCCCATGGACAGAGGAGCCTGCTGAGCAGCCGTCCATGGGGCCATACACAACTGAGCAGGCACGCAAACTATGTTAGGTATGGTACTAGGAGCTCTGTATTAGTATTTGCTTCATCAGTAAATTACCTTATTTAATTCTATTAAAGAAAAAATAAGATAAGGATTATCAATCCCACTTTTCAAAAAAAAAAAAAGTGACGTGTATTTTCTAGTAAGTGGCAGGTGTGTGTGTGATTCAAACCAAGATCTGCTAACAAGGGGCAAACTTATGATTCACACCTTGTATTTTTGTCATTCTTTGCAAACTTCCTTATGGTACAAACTTTTAAAGAATTACTTGTTTAAGGATCGAAATGAATGTGGTTACATATCCATAGTGGAAACCTGACCTGGATGTTTTCATCTCTTATTCCCAATTAGCTGTGTCTAACTTGTTTAATTGTGTTTAACTTTTAAAATGTTTAACAGTGAAACATTTTAACCCTAATTTTAAGATCTCATAAACTTTAGTTTAATTAACTTTACAAGTTAACTTTTTTTTTAATTATGCTAAGTGCTGTGGGGAAGTTTATTTGAGGAGGAGAAGAGGAGGGAACCAACACAGTTAACTGTAAGATCACAAGTGTCACAGACTAGACAGTGAATTTATGTTAGCTTTGGACATTAAGTGTCAGACTTGAGAAAATGAAGATGGGAGAAAGCATTCAGCTTCAGCGGGTAATAGGATATTTCCATGGGACAATTTTTTTATTCAGTATCATCATAGGTGCGGGAATATTTATTGCTCCTAAAGGGGTGTTAAAATACTCTTCACTCAACGTGGGGGTGTCCCTAAGTATTTGGGCTGCTTGTGCTGTGGTGTCTATGCTGGCTGCCCTGAGTCACGCAGAGCTGGGGACCACCTTCCCTAGAAGTGGAGCACAGTATTATTTCCTCAAAAGGTCTCTTGGACCCTTTCTTGCTTTCTTCTACCTCTGGATCAATCTATTCAGTACTCCCGCGGGAATTGCGGCACGCGGCTTGCTGCTAGCGGGGTACATTACGCAGCCTTTCTATCCTGGGTGTTTTGTTCCCGAGATGCCAAAGAAATGTTTGGCTTTGGCTATCTTGTGGTGCTTGGGAATTCTGAATGCTCGCGGAGTGAAGGAAGTGACATGGTTTCAGACTGTCAGTACCGCTGTGAAAGTGACAGTTCTCGGCTTCATCTCTGTAACTGGAATCATGTTGCTGGTGAGAGGAAGAAGGGAGAACCTAGCCAGGTTTGAGAAAGCATTTGATGCTGAAGTTCCGGATGCTTCACAGATTGCCGAAGCCTTCCTACAAGGATTGTATGCATATTCTGGTTGGGGAGTCCTTGTCCGAATAGCAGGTAAAGTTATTATTTTTAAATTATAAAGAGCTCCACCAGGCTATAAACATACAAGGGTTAATCAACTTAATTCTAAGAAAAAAACACAACGTTGTTTCACTCTGATGTGTGTCTCTCTTCTGTCAGGTGGGTGGAAATGCATTAAACTCTCTACAAATGTGGTTTTCTAACTTTGGAAAGCAAAATATTTTCTAGGTGTTTACAAATTAAAACAAGTAAGCGTAGAACTGACACAGCTTAAGGACTCAACAACAATTGCATTTTTTTTTTTACTGAACAAATATTTTAATAGCAAAAGCTCATCAGAGAAAAATTTAAATACAGAAAATATAAATTAAAATAAAGATTACCAATTATCTTGTATGTACACACTTGCAGGGGTCACACTTGTACATATACTCATCATTTATTTTACTTAAAGCATATAGTGAGAATTCA